GGTTGGAAAGGGTTTGGATGCTGGCCCTGGTGGAAAAACTGACTTCCAAGATTTCTAAGGCAAGAAGAGACATCAAAGAGGGTAATTTTGAAATTATAGTACTAATATGCAGTTGGCCCTCTCTGTCCACAGATTCTGCATCCATGGATTCAACCACCCATCGACTGCAAAACTTCCAAGAAAAGAATTCCCAAAAGCAAGCTTTGATTCTGGTATTTTGTATAAGAAGTGTCCTTTATATGCTGCTAATTTATATACCCAGCATTGCCCGAGTTCGCATTTCCTTTTTTCCTTTCTTTCCATCATATTCTTTGTCCCTCTCTTCCTTCCTTCCTTCCTTCCTTCCTTCCTTCCTTCCTTTCCTTTCCTTTCCTTTCCTTTCCTTTCCTTCCTTTCCTCCTTCCCTTGTTTCCCCTTATACACCTTCCTTTCTCCTCCCTTATACACCTTCCTCCTTTTTCTTTTTCTCTTTCTTTCTTTCTTTCTTTCTTTCTTTCTTTCTTCATTCCTTCCTTCCTTCCTTCCTCTTCCTTTGTCTTCCCTTCTTTTTCTTTCTTCCCTCCCCTTTTTGTCCCCTTCCCCCTTCCTTTCTCTTCCCTTCTTATTCTTCCTTCTTTTCTCTTCCCCTCTTTCCTTTTTCTTCTTTTATCTGACCTTTTTACTGGAAGTCAGTCTGTCAAAGCAAAACAAATACACCACTTCCAAAATTGGTTAAACTGCTTACTTCCTTATGCAGTGAATATCCAAACTGTGGCCCTTCAGGGCTGTGATATTATAGGTTTCAAGGCGGATCCACTTTCCTTACCAGCAGTGAATCCTTTCTATCTATACGCTGCCCTTTTGTGGGTTGCATCTGAGCACTGCATGCATACATACTTATACAGGCAGTCCAAAAGTTATGAACAAGATAGGTTCTGTAGGTTTGTTCCTTAGTTGGATTTGTTTGTAAGTCGGAACAGGTATGTTTTCTAAGTGGAACTCCGTATGTATGTATGTATATATACATATATACATACACACACACACACACACATATATATATACATAAATACATACATACATACATACATACACACACACATACATATAGGCTTTGGATAGCACAGGGTAAAGGTAAAGGTTTTCCCCTGACATTAAGTCCAGTCATATCCAACTATGGGAGTTGGTGCTCATCTCCATTTTTAAGTCGGCATTACCCATAGACACCTCCAAGGTCATGTAGCCGGCATGGCTGCATGTAGCCACCGGGGGCTCCTATACACACACAAACACACACAAACACACACACACATACATATAGGCTTTGGATAGCATAGGGTAAAGGTAAAAGTTTTCCCCTGACATTAAGTCCAGTCGTTTCTTACTCTGGGGGTTGGTGCTCATCTCCATTTCTAAGCAGAAGAGCCGGCGTTGTCTGTAGACACCTCCAAGGTCATGTGGCCAGCATGACTGCATGGAGCACCTTCCCGCCAAAGCAGTACCTATTGATCTACTCACAAGGGCTGCTGACGAAGTTTCAGTGGAGACCCCTTTTTCCAATGATAACTCTCCCAGGAGTGAATTTCCCTTCTGAAGGGAAGATTTCTCTCACTTTCTGTTGTCTCACCCCATTCTTAACTCAGATGTTTGTAACTTGGGGACTGTTTATATATGCTAGTAGCTAATCCTATCTAGGCATGTAGGAGCCTTTGTGGAACAAACAAGACAACACATACACATACATACTTAGACTTTTATATATATGGAAGGTAGAATTGTGTATATAGTGGGATTTTAGCATCCACAGATCTGGGTATGGGGTAGGAATGGGGTCCTGGAGCCAAATCCAAATGCATACCAAGGTCCCGCTGTCTATGGCATCCCTATATCATATTCAGAAAGCACCTTCACACACGGGCTACTGTTGAAACACTGGGGTGGATGGATGCACTGTAATCTGATCTTGATTTGTGGTAATTGAGTTTAACTGGATCTGGCTCTGTAATTTCTTATCCCTGGCACTCAAGTTGGCTTTGACTTATAATGTCCTTATGAACAAGAGATCTCCGACAGACCATAATATTGCCACTGGTATTACAGCAGACTCTCAGTTAACCAGAACTCAAGCAATTGGAACTCTCAAGCAACCGGCAAAAAAAGTATTAAAAGAAATAATACTTCAAATAAAAGTTAAAATAAATAAATGTGTATTTCTATTCATTTGCTTTCAATGACAATTACTGTATTTCTGTATTAATGACGAACGCTTGACTCCATAGCCAGGATTTCAGTTGTTTCCTGAAGGTCAAGAGGGAGGGGGCAGCCCTAACTTCACTGGGGAGAGAGTTCCACAGCCAGGGGTACCACCACAGAAAAGGCCCTGTCTCTCGTCCCACAAAACCGAAACTGCGAAAGCGGTGGGACTGAAAGCAGGGCCTCTCTGGAAGATCTTAAAGTCCTTGATGGTTTGTAGGGAAAGATACGTTTGTAAGGAAAGATAAGTTTTTCAGGCTATATAGCCATGTTCCAGAAGCATTCTCTCTTGACGTGTCGCCTGCATCTATGGAAACATGAATCTTTTCAAAACAAGGCTTCCAAGGAACAGGGACGAGGTCTTGACTTGATTCCAAATGATGCTTCATCTGACTACAGATCCTGTACTTGGGACTTTTATCTCCTCGTTAAGCTATGTCCCAGGCGGCCAGAAATTGGTTTCGCTTTAGCCTTGAATCCCTTATCTTTAATCCCTTAAACTGGGCCAGAGCTGTTTAGGGCTTTATAGGTTAAGATCAGCACTCTGATTTGTGCTCAGAAGCTAATAGGTAGCCTAACCCTAACCCGGTACCCGCTCCCGTAAGTAATCTGGCTGCCGAACATTGGATGAGTTGGAGCTTCTGAACAGTCTTCAGAGGCAACCCCACGTAGAGTGCGTTGCAGTAATCTATTCGGGATGTAACTAGAGCATGGACCACCGTCGCCAAGTCCGACCTCCCAAGATACGGGTGCAACTGGCGCACAAGTTTTAATTATGCAAAACCTCCTCTGGAGATACATATCCATACAACGCTTTCGTACTTAAAATGCATACACGCATTGAGAATGTTCCATTCTGTTCATACATAACTTTCTTTATGTATTCGGATAACATATTATTTGGAAAACCTGCATATCAATCCTACAAGGTAGACCTGGATTATTGCCACTAATTAATGTAGGCAGGGATGAGACGCAAACGATTATTACCTTTATTTGTACCCCGCTAACATCTCCCAAAGGACTCGATGCTGCTTACAAAGGCCAAGGCCTTTGTAAAACAACAGCATAACAAATGCATTATTTAACTCACAAGCAAACCAAAAAACATTAAAGCAGTAACAGTAAAACAACAAAGCAATACACCATGACACATTTAAAAACTAGGGCCGGACCAAATGTAATGGGTACAGGTTAAAAGTGCTGGACATGACAGGTAAGATGGAAAGATTCTGGGGTAGGTGCAATGTGCAGCAATCTTAAATCTCTAATAAAGTGCGTCTGGGACATGATGCTGGTAGCTTCATAATCTGGAAAGGCACACTGGAACAGCCTAAAGACTGCCAATGTTGGGGCTTGTCTGATGTCCTTGGGGAGAGTGTTCCAGAGTCGGGGGGCCACCACAGAGAAGGCCCTGTCCCCCGTCCCCACCAAACGTGCTTGTGACACAGGTGGGATCGCGAGCAGGGCCTCTCCAGATGAACGGAGGGAACGTGTGGGTTCATATACGGAGATGCGGTCACGCAGGTCTATGTAATCATAGACATTTATATTTGCACAAGGTGCATCTACACCGCAGAGTTAATGCAGTTTGATACTACTTTAACTTCCATGGCTCAATGTTATGGAACCCTGGGGATTGTAATTTGGTGAGATGGTAACACTCTTTGGCTGAGAAGAATAAAGACGGGTTGTTGTAAGTTTTTCAGGCTATATAGCCATGTTCCAGAAGCATTCTCTCCTGACGTTTTGCCTGCATCTATGGGAACATGAATATTTCCAAAGCAAGGCTTCCAAGGAACAGGGACGAGATCTTGATTTGATTCCAAATGATGCTACATCTGACTACAGATCCTGCACTTGGGACTTTTATCTCCTCGTTAAGCTATGTCCCAGGCGGTCAGAAATTGGTTTCGTTTTAGCCTTGAATCCCTTATCTTTCATTCTCTGAGCCTGACAGAACGCTGAATAGGGATAAGATCTTGACTTGATTCCAAATGATGCTTCATCTGACTACATCCTGTACTTGGGACTTTTATCTCCTCGTTAAGCTATGTCCCAAGCGGCCAGAAATTGGTTTCGCTTTAGCCTTGAATCCCTTATCTTTCATTCTCTGAGCCTGACAGAACGCCTGAGCCACTGATCGGCTTGCCTATTTTGACTAATAACATCCCGTCTATCTATTTGCTCATTAATTTCTGCAGCTGGGCCAGGTGCCAAGCTGTTTTCAAGCTCCAAATCTTGGGAATTCTCTGGTAGCAATTCAGGGAGCACACCATCATCCCCACACATTTCAGGGACATTCTCATGGGTTTGAACAGGGATCTCCTGGTCGAAAAATAAAGACCTTGCAAAACTATAACTTCCATAATTCCATAGCATGGAGTGGACTCAAACTGCATTCATTCTACAGTGTGAATGCACCCTGGGACACAATAAAGCCAACGTTTTACTGCCTTAACTATTTATTTGGATGATTGGGGAGCATTTAGGAATTGCAACCTTGGACTTCAACCTTTCAAAAAGTGGCTCCTGTCTCTTTAAATAACAAGACTCTCAACAGCAGTCCTGGAAAGAGGGAGACAACATCTGGGGAATGATTTTTTGCCCTCTTAAAGGCGCAGTGCAACTTTTCCAAGCCAATGCCAACACACACATACCCCAACCCCACTCCGGATCTTCTCCCCAAAGCTTTAATCCGGATTCCACTTCGCTTTGCTCCCAACTCCTTCCTCCCTTCCTTCCTCCTCCTCCTCTTTCCTTCTCACCCAAAAGTTCTCCTTGAACAGGGTCTCCCGCATGTTGGGCTGAAGCGGTTTGGATCCCCAGCCAGTGCGGACGGAGAAAGCCGGAGTCTCTCGAAAAGCAGGTGGAGACGCTCCACTCCAAGTTCCTCAATTCTTCAGGATTTTTTCCCCCTCTCCTGCCTCTCTCTGGGTCCTAAAGCCCGTCGGGTCTCAATTGGTGGCTGTCCCTTTAAGAGTCTCTCGAATGCAGTTTGACACCACTTGAACTGCCATGGCTCAATGCTGTGGACCTTGGGAGTCACAGTTTGGCTAGGCACCAGCTCTCTTTGGCAGAGAAGGCTAAAGACCTTGTGAAACTACAACTCCCAGGAGTTTGACCTCAACTTGAACTGCCTTGCCTCAGTGCTATGAAGTCCTGGGATTTGTAGTTTGGTGAGGCAAAAGCTCTCTACCAGAGAAGGCTGGAGACTATGTGAAACTACAACTCCCAGAATCCCGTAGCATTAATGGAGTTTGACCCCAACTTGAACTGTCTTGGCTCAATGCTATGAAGTCCTGGGATTTGTAGTTTGGTGAGGCAGAGAAAGCAAAATATCTTGTGAAACTACGACTCCCAGGATCCCATAGCATTAATGGAGTTTGACCCCACTTGAACTGTCTTGGCTCAATGCTATGAAGTCCTGGGATTTGTAGTTTGGTGAGGCAAAAGCTCTCTAGCAAAGAAGGCTGGAGACTATGTGAAACTACAACTCCCAGAATCCCGTAGCATTAATGGAGTTTGACCCCAACTTGAACTGTCTTGGCTCAATGCTATGAAATCCTGGGATCTGTAGTTTGGTGAGTCATCGGCACTCTTTGGCAGAGAAAGCAAAATACCTTGTGAAACTACAACTCCCAGGATATAATAGAATTAATTGATTAATGCAGTTTCGCCCCACTTGAACTGCCATGGCTCAATACTATGAAGTCCTGGGATTTGTAGTTTGGAGAGGCATCAGCACTCTTTGATAGAGAAAGAAAAATACGTTGTAAAATTAAAACTCCCAGGATTGCATAGCATTGACTATATCATACACTTCATAATCAATGCAGTTTGAAACCACTTTAATTGCAATGTTTCCATGCTACAGAATTATTTTAGCTGTAGTTTGGTGAGCCAGCAGCACTCTATGGCAGAGAAGGCAAAAGGCCTAGGAAACTACAACTCCCAGGATTCCATGGCATTCATGGATTTACATCGTTAGAATTAATGCAGTTTCACCCTACTTTATCTGCTTTGGTTCAATGCTATGAAAAGGTGGGATTTGTAGTTTAGTGAGGCACCAGCTCTCTGGCAAAAAAGGCCACAGACCTTGTAAAACTACAAGTCCCATGATTTCATAGCATTGAGGAAGAGCCTTTTGCTAAGAAGAGAGACAATGGGCCTGTGTTGCAATCGCTTCTCACACAGGAAGGAGAGAAGTTGCATTGGCTTAAAAATTCCCCATCAGGGCAAAGATTTTAAAAACGCAATGTGTTTCTCACCAGGGCATCCATCTTTTTTTTTTTTTTTGGGGGGGGGGGATTATAATCAATCCCAAATGAGTTCATTTCTTATCCCATTAATGGCGATACAAACTATTTATTTATTCAGGACAGTGGTTCCCAACCTTCTCTTGACCAGGGCCCACTTTGACCACAGGCCACTTGACTCTTGACCACTTTGACCCGGGACCGCTTTGACCCAGGACCACTTGGACCTGGGACCACTTTGACCATGGACTACTTGACTAGGGTCCACTTGACCAGGGACTATTTGGATCTGGGACCACTTTGACCAGGGACTACTTGACTAGGGACCACTTGACCAGGGTACACTTTGACCAGGGACCACTTGACCAGGAACCACTTGGGCACAGCCCACTTTGACCATGGCCCAATTTGACCAGGGAATACTTGACCAGGAACCACTTTGACCAGGGATCACTTGAGCAGGGACTACTTGAACAGAGAACACTTTGACCAGGGACCACTTTGACCAGGGAATACTTGACCAGGGCGCACTTTGACCAGGACCCACTTGAGCACAGCCCACTTTGACCATGGCCCACTTTGACCAGGGAATACTTGACCAGGGACCACTTTGACCAGGGATCACTTGAGCAGGGACTACTTGAACAGAGACCACTTTGACCAGGGACCACTTTGACTGGGACCACGTTGACCAGGAACCACTTGACCAGGGATCCCTTTGTCCAGGGCTCACTTGACCAGGGACTACTTCACCAGGGACCACTTTGACCAGGAACCACTTTGACTAGGACCACTTTGACCAGGGACCACTTTGACCAGAGACCACTTAACCAAGGAATACTTGACAAGAGCCCACTTGACCAGGGCCCATTTGACCAGGGCCTACTTTGACCAGGGCCCACTTTGACCAGATACCACTTGATCAGTGACTACTTATTATTTATTTATTTATTTGGAGTGCTTCTACCGCGCCCTTCTCAACCCCCTAGGGGGGACTCAGGGCGGCTTACAAAAGGCACAATTCGATGCCTAACAATTCACAAAATACGGTACAATATACAATATACAATGTACAATACACAAATTTACCAAATAATGTCAACAGTTATAACTAATTAAAACAATCAACAGTATACTAGCAGCAATAAAATCATCTTGTGGTCAATGTTCGCCAATTCATAGTCCGTAATCCATCTAGCATCGTCATTATCCTTTCCTACTCTGGTCGTCATTGGTTGTCTTTGTCCATCTGCCAGCTTACCCGAAGGCCTGGTCCCACATCCAGGTTTTTAGCTTCCTTCTGAAAGCAAGGAGGGATGTTGATGACCTAATCTCCCCCGAGAGTGCATTCCACAGGCGAGGGGCCACCACCGAGAAGGCTCTGTCCCTCATCCCCACCAGTCTCGCTTGTGATAAAGGTGGGGCCGAGAGCAGGGCCTCCCCAGCAGATCTTAAACTCCGAGGTGGGACGTAGAAGGAGATACATTCAGACAGGTACTTGAACAGGACCCACTTTGATCAGGGCCCACTTTGACCAGGAACCACTCTCAAGCATTAGTACGCAAAGGGGCGGGGTTGGTCCACTCTGGGGAAAGGAGCGGAAATCAAATCAAATGCATTAAATAAATAAATAAAGAGGAAGGAGTTTCGTGTTCCAGAATCTTGTTCTCATGGCCCACTGCTGGGCCACAGCCCACAGGTTAAGAAGCAGTAATTTAGTCTAAGACACTGGAGGTCAGGTATTTAATCTTTGCTCAGTCGTGGATTGAATGATTTTGTGCATGGCACACTGTCTCAGCCTCAGACAATAGCAAACCGCGCTCAGAACAAATCTTGCCCAAGAATTCCTGTGATACATTCACTATAAATCTGCAACAACTTGAAGGCATAGAACAAACTCAGAACTAGAGCAAAACGAAATATATACAAACATTTATAGAAATAATGTGATTGTGCCTTCAAGTTGCATGCCGACTGATAATTTTTCATAGGATATTCTCAGAGGTGGATTTGCTTCCAGATCTTTCCTCTGATAAAGCACCAAGTAATTATTGGTGGTCTCCCATCCAAGTGTTGACGTGAGCTGACCTCATGGGATATGGGGTGCATCTACATTGGATAATTAATGCAGTTTGAGACCCCTTTAACTGCCATGTCTTTGTGTTATGGAACCCTGGGAGTAGTAGTTTGGGAAGGCACCTCCACTCCTTGACATAGCACTGACTCATGGCAGTTATAGTGGTGTCAAACTGCATTTATTCTACAGTGTAGATGCACCTGAAATGTCCTATTTAGTAGGTCCCAGAAGAGCAGATGGAAAAGTCCCTGTCCCCATTCATCTCTCTGGTTTTTTGTTTTTTCTGCAACAGGAAGGAAGTGGCTGGAAGGAGGAACCTAGCAGAGTAGTATTGTGGCTTCCCATATTTTGGTTTTCTGCAGAAAAGATTTTAAGGAAGCGTTCTGTTGGAAACAGCCATTCTTTCCACATACAAGGGTTGAATGAAAAGTAATGCCTCCACCTTCGTAACTCCTCAACAGATGGCAGTACTGGTATGCGGCAGGTACTGGCTTGTCCAGTAGACTTTCCTCTACAGTTCAATTTCAGTGGGAAGCCTTAGCATTGAACTGCTGTGTGGTTAAAGTGTGAAATATTGAACCCTGCGCAGATGGTCAGTCAATGCGACTTAAGCAACATGCAGTCATTGAATTCTTGACAACAGAAGGTGTCACCCCAAAGGAGAATCATGTAGCTGTTTATGGTGATTGTGGTGATGTGAGTACTATGTGCCATTGGGCAAGTATGTTTTAAGATGTTGAGGTGGAAACATCTGACTTGCGTGACAAACAAAGAGTTGTAAGTCCTGTGATAGCAACCACCGAGTTTCACAAGCAAAAGGTTGACAGATTGATTCAGGATGATCGTCGTATCACTCTGAGAGGAATTTCAAGCATAATCCACATTTCACAAGAACGTGTGGGTCACATTATTGCTTTGCTTGGCTATCAGAAGATCTGTGCATGATGGGTACCCAGGATGAGAGAACTGTGAGACGCTGGTTGCGGAAGCAGAGTGTCAACTTCTGTGACGGCTTCAGAAAACTTGTTCATCGTTTGCAGAAATGTATCCAATTGTCTGGTGATTATGTGGAAAAGTAAATAGTGGTAGTTAAAGAGCACATTGTAAGGATTATTTCTGCATTTGATTTATTAAAATATTCCCAGACAAACCCAAGTAACGAAGATGGAGGCATTACTTTTCATTCAACCCTCGTAAATCTTTTTAACCGTATGTTGTAATTACTGTAGATGCGTAGTTCAGAGGTGCATCTACACTGTAGAATAATGTAGCTTGATGCCACTTTCACAGCTAAGTCTCAATGCTATGGAATGCTGAGAGTTGTAGTTTTACAAGCTCTCTACGCTTCTCTGGCAAAGAGTGCTGGTGCTTCACATAAATACAACTCCCAGGATCCCCATAGCATTGCACCATGGCGGTTCAACTGGTACCAAACTGCTTTCATTCTATAGTGTAGGTGCAACCTGTTGGGTGGGGGATTCTGGAAATTGTAGTCCAAAAAAGAGTTGGTGAAACATGACCTAATGCACACAATGTCAGGCTCCTTGGCACAAAGCGGAGACTCCGCCTGCAACTCCTTCTTC